GATAATGATTCTCTGCTGTTACCAACTGTAGGTGAAAACGATACTTTGCATTTCATCTTTGATAAAAGCAGCCACTTTAGGACTTCATCAAATTAACCATGTTCGTAACCAGCTCAATTCCTATTTGCGTTTTATGTTTACTAATTGTACAGAAGAATTGTGCATTGTAGAAGCAGCAGTTCCATTATGGAAGAATAAAAAATTTCATACGGCTATTGAATACTCAGTGTTCACATACTCACATTGGTCACGCCCAAGCGTTGTTGATTTCGAATTAGTTTATGATTTTAAAAATGCAAATGTTCCTGAATTTCACAGCAGACTGAATAACATAAATTGGCAAAAAATTTTAAAAGATGAAAACGACATGGACAAGGCTGTTGACATATTTTATACTACCTTATTCAATATCATTGAAGTATTCGTTCTTAAAAGACTACAGAGAATAATGAACAGCACCAAATATCCTGTGTGGTATACACAAGAAATCAGAAATATTAAAAACAGGAAGCAAAAAGCACACAAGTCGTATAAAAAGTTTAAAACGTCACAAAATTTAGAAAAATACGTTGTAATTTGCAGAGAACTTGAGGCAGAAATATCGTCAGCATATGAGAATTACAATTCAAACGTAGAGAACAATATAAAATCTGATCCCAAAACGTTCTTTAACTTCGCGAACGAAAAAATGAAGTCATGTACATTCCCATCACGCATGCAGTTTGAAGAGTTTGATAGCACTGATAGTGAGGATATTTGTAACCAATTTGCTCGCTTTTTCCAAAACATATATAAGAAATCCAGTAATGCTCTCGATTTGAACTATTTTTCTTACCTACCTGAAGGGGAAAATGACGTATCAATTAATAATATCACTGTTCAAGAAATTTGTATGACTCTTGAAAGTCTCGATGCTGGCAAAGGACCTGGTTCTGATGAAATACCTCCATTTTTATTGAAAAAATTAGAAACTAGTTTTGTTACACCATTGTTTTTGGCTTTACAATTTATCTCTCAAAACAGGTGATTTTCCAAAAATTTGGACGAAATCATTTTTAGTCCCAATATTTAAATCTGGCAAACGGTCTGACATTAAAAACTATAGAGGTATTGCAATTATGTCATGCATTCCTAAAATGTTTGAAGCAATTGTTAACCAAAAAATAATTAACCAGTTTAAGCATCGCATTTCAAATAATCAACATGGTTTTTTTAAAGGTCGGTCAACGTCTACTAATCTTTTGGAATTTGAAAACTTTTATATTGAAGCAATGGATAGAGGTAATACGGTTGAAACCTTATACACTGATTTTAGTAAGGCCTTTGACAGAGTAGACATTCCCTTACTTCTTTTTAAATTAAAACGTTTAGATATGACAAGAACACTTTTAAAATGGATTGGATCATACTTGACAGAAAGAACACAGATGGTCCGCTTTAAAGGAAAAATATCTTCGGCAGTTAATGTTACCGCGGGAGTTCCACAGGGATCTCATTTAGGTCCTTTATTATTTATTTTATTTGTGGATGACGTGAAGTTTGTGTTAAATCGTTTGAATGTGCTCATATATGCTGACGATATGAAACTGTACATGGAAATCTTTGACAGTTCTGATTTGCTACATTTTCAAAATGAAATTGATGTTTTCTACAATTGGTGCGTTAAAAGTCTGTTGGACATTAATGTTAAAAAATGCAATATTATATCTTATTCCAGAAAACACACTACTCTAGATTTTACATGTACTTTAGGAAACTAGCTGGTTGTAAGGTGCGATAAAATTAGGGACTTAGGAGTAATTCTTGACTCGAAGTTGACATTTGTAGATCATGTGAATACCACAATTCACAAAGCAAATAATATGTTGGGATTCATAAAAAGATTTAGTTATCATTTTAAAGACCCATATACCATCAAAACACTTTATATAGCTTACGTGAGATCAATTCTCGAATATTGCAGTGTGGTTTGGGCTCCATATCATGAAACTTATATAAATCGTATAGAATCAGTTCAAAAACAGTTTTTGTTATTTGCGCTTAGGAAACTAGGCTGGACCTCTTTTCCCCTTCCTTCTTATGAGTCCCGTTGCATGTTGATAAACATTGAAACACAGGCTTTAAAAATTTAGATGCCTCAAAAGGTCCTGGACCTGACGGATTTCCACCAGTATTTATTAAATGTCTAGCAATGGAACTCACTGCTCCATTGTTTTGGCTTTTTAATATGTCCCTGGAATCCGGAACCTTCCCTAAAATTTGGAAAAGCTCATTTCTAGTACCTATCTTTAAATCTGGTCGAAAATCTGACGTACGTAATTATCGTGGTATAGCCATTATCTCTTGCATTCCTAAGCTTTTCGAGGCAATTATCAACGAAAAATTATTTCTCCAAATCAAAAATAGAATAGAATAAAATTATCGAAAAATGAATCAAGTCCAGTATCTCACTGTTTTCCTCGCCTGAAACTCTTTAAATCAAAGGTCTTTTTTCTGAAACCCGAGGTATTGTCGAAACTGCTATATTTGTGATGGGATTTTTTTAGGATGCCGGTTAAAAATCTATAGCTTTAGTAAATACATAGAAATTAGAACCAACTACAAGAACTAGAACCGGTCCAAAAACAACCGAGATATGGTAATATCCCTAGAGTCGGGTCTGATGGAAGGATCTGAACGCTGTCAGATTGTTTATTCATCAAAATATGCCATTCGACAGCTTTTCTACCTGTATGTTCATGAATAGGCTTTCTATATACTTGGAATCGATCATTGATCACATTGGCCGCCTATGGAACCACCAAGATACCCCCAGGGTTACCTGTAGTAAGGGACAATTGCATTTGTACACCAGACATAGCAGACATACTCTGAGAATAATTCCAAGAAAATTTCAAGGGAATTCTGATAAAAATGTCTAGTATATTCTCAAAACAACCCCACAAGGATTCTGACAGGAATGCCAAAAGAATTGTGATACGAATTTCAAGGCAATTTTAAGATAAATATAAAATTTCGAACAGCCTTCCCAGGGGAGTTTTATTTTTAAATTCTGAGGAGTAGTAGTTATGGGTAGAATTGCAAAGAATCCTGACTCAAAATACTGACGGGAATTCAGTAAGGATCATTTCAGGAGATTTCTAAGAATAACAGATTTTTGAGAAAATTCAGGAAGCCAGGCTTAGCGCGAACTAACGAGTGCGATTTCTTCCATTGCTTCCATTGTTGTAACAAATAGCTGGAGGGTTCTAACATCGGTCAGTTCACGAAACTGTTGAGAAGAATTCGAAGGAACTTTGAAGGGAACTCGAAATGATTTTTAAAAGAATACTTAAGGAATCCTGAAGTGAGCTACTAGGGAGTTTACAGGATAAATCTGAGGAGAATTGCAAGATATTTCATGCAAATATTCCGAGGTAATATTGAAGAGATTTATGGAGAAAACATCAGGCGCTTTTGTAAGAATGATTCAGAATTTAAGGGGGGAAATACAAGTAAATTTTTTTTTATCGATTTTTTATATTTTATTTTAAAAAATGCTACGAGCACGAAGAAGGGGTGATCTATGGCCCCGGTATCGCCGATTAACCGTAAGTTCCAGAAATCATGTTTTTACACAACCCAAAACTTTAAACGCGTTTTTCTCGAAACGGTGTTTTCCAAATTGGCGGGAAAGATAAGTCAAAAAGTTCTCATTCAAATGACTTGAAACCTGGCGCATCTTAAAGGAAATAAATTTTTACTCTACCACTGATATCATAAAAATAACAATAAATAATTTTCAGGTCTGCCTAAAAGAGAAAAAAAAAACAGTGAAAAATCAACTTTTTTTTCAGATTTTTTTTTCAAAATTTTTAACATGTTTTTTTTTTTGGTTTTAAATGTTTACATAATTTTTTTTTTTTTATATCTTTATTTAGGAGACTTTCAGCCGTTGGTTGGCTCGTCTCCGAGTTTACATAGAACAAAAATCTTTTCTGAATAAGGTCGAATTGATAAAAGTAAGTTTTGTTCAATTTTTAAGGTCTCTAGAACGCCCGCCAATTACCAATCCCCACCGTAGGCGACCTCCTTCCGATGTGACCCCAAGGAGCCACAGGGGTCACACACCAATGAAAAAAATCTCAAATGTAGAGAAAGATTTAAGCAATTTAATGCAAAAAACCCCAAACGTTTGCGTTGCTTCATTTGCTCACAAAAAAAATCCTAAAATCGTCGAGTTTTTGACTACTTGTATTTCCCCCCTTAAACAGAAACGTGGAGTGAGTTTCCTAAAGAGAATGCCTGAAATTGAATATGTCTTCCAAAAATATGTTTGAAAAAGGATTAATAATTTTCCAAGAACATAGTAAACCCTCACGTCGACGCTGAGGCATAGAATCTCTGACCAAGCTAGTGAAAAAATATGCTCAATATGTTTATGCAAAATGATGTTACAAACCATGTGAAGTTTGCTCTAGAATGAGCGGTGAACGTGAACGGTATTATGCGTCAAGAAAAACAACTTTTGAAATTCATCTCTGTCCTCGGCGATTTTTTCTACCTTTATTTCGGAGTCTTTCGAACAGGCAAAAATTCAATTTAATTTAATACTCTACACGTCAAGTCTTTTCTTCGTTAGATATGAATTTCAAGAATAATTTTTCAATTTAAAACAGGCTATCTTGATAGATTTATACAATCAAGCGGCTAGAAGCGATTCCAATGACCTTGAAGTAAGTCGCACCGTTTGGCACCCCACACCACACAAGCGGTTTTAGCAAAGCCAACCAGTTAAAGCCTTCAAAACAAGCAACGGGCAAAAAGTGGGTCAAAGGTTGTCATCAAGACATTCAAGGACGTCACTCTGAAATTGGCATGATGACGATGCACAGCAGCATTTAAATTTTAGAGTTTAAATGGTTTTTTTTTGCGATTAGATAAAACTGTTCGCAAGAATTTACAGATAAGCAACAGTAGAAACATGTATGTCAATATGATTGATGATCTGGTACACCTACCTGAGCTTTGATGAATCAGGCGATTGGTGGCATAGTCCGAAGAATGCCAACCAAGAATAGTAGAGAACGGAAGATGATCCAGTTAGTATCCAATTTATTTTCCCAACACGCAAAAACACTCGATAGCTGCACAAGTACGGGAAAATATTACAAATAACACCCAATTTCGATCGGCACAACCGGAATTTTCTGAATGAAATCGATTTTTCCACCGTCAACACCGACTTCTTCGTCTGTTTTCTGAATCGAGAATGAAAATTGTTGTACTTGTTGTTTCTGTTTGTGTTCGACTGTCAAAAACTAGCATAATAGACATGGCTGCGCGATAGACTGGCTCCGCTCAAGAGTGGCAAGAGCGAGGGGCGCATAATCGAAAAATAAAACTTTAAGGACATGTTCAGCCAGCGTTGTCAGACTGTTTTCAAGCTTATCGGTATTAATGGTTTTAAAAAATCGCTATTAATCGGTATTTACAGGGGGAACGACTCATTTGGATGTATTTTGTTCAGTCTAATAATTACTTGGAATTTTCGGGGAAAAGCACAATAATTGATGGGATTTCTGCATGTGTGTCGTATTTAGAAAAAATAGACGAGAAGAAAACATATGAGTTGCATAAACTCCAGATCGCGTCTAGCCAAAATATCCCGAACTGGAACATTAGGTTGTCCACCTCGACCCCGAAGGGATTCGTACAACTCGGATCTGACTCCACAGTGCTCAGCACATGATGGATTTCTTGTGTTAAGGTGCAAATCAGTTCAGATTAGTGGAAAATCGTACAATAAGACAATTACCGATGGAAATTGGCAAGATTTTGAATGAAAAATGCTGTAATTTCTGTTGGGGAAAATACTTATTCTGATGTAAACAAACGGTTTGGTTGACGTTTCTTCTCGAAGTGGCATGGTGCTCTCTACGTTGGTGGTGCATTAAAAAGGCCTACACGAAACGAAAATCAATTATTTTATTCATGTGTTTCACTTATACATTTTTGCCAAAACATCAGCCTTATACATTCCATAAGACAAATTACATAGGTCCTATAAGAATGCATTAAAGGTATGTGTGACCACTTATACATTTCATTTAACACATAATCTTCATTAACTTTTTGCAAGGCGTCTGCTTATTAGTTGACTTATACATTTTATGAATAATCAGCAATAGAAATTTGCCAAAAGGTATAAGGAGATTTCTATCCGTGTATAATGTGATCTGCGTTCTGGCAATCTTGTCCACATTCACAGATATTGCTGTCCCACAGCCCAACACGGAACAAGATGGAACAAGTGAGCTCCCGCATAAACACTAACCATAAGAAGTGCCTAACCACCAATTCGTGATATCATCCCAACTTTATGTGGTATGGTTGTAACATCTATGATATCGTTAGTGTATGGTACCCGTTTATTAGGGCTCTTGTCGAATAGTGATTGGACATGAGGCGAGACATCACACGAATGAAGTCTCGACCCTACTGTGTTACCTGACTTATAACGAATATACGTTGTACACGAGTACCCCGAATACAACGTATGACTCGTCTAATTTTGCATAGCATTTGTAATGTAAAATTAGACGAACTATACGTTGTATTCGGGGTACTCGTATACAACGTATATTCGTTATAAGTCAGGTAACGCAGTAGGCGGGAAATAGAAAGGTGACACAGTAGGAAGAAGTGTTAATTTGTTTACTAAAATGAACTATGCCCATTTTGTTATAGCAAGTTTTGCTATAAGAAATGCTCCTCGTGTTTATTAGCGAAATTCACATCAAAGGTTGATTAATTGCGTAGGAAATCAGTTTGGCACGGCATTTATGACCAGCATACACCTACCGGTCGTATGAAACAGGTCAAAAACTGTCCATACATTTTTTTGTTTTGAATTTCTGTATGGCTAATAGTGAACTTTTCGTGAACATTAACAGCAAAGAACTCACCAACACTGGGAGACCGTGAGTTCCTGCCCACCTGTCATATTTCCATCTCGGTCTCGACCCACCTCCAGCTCCAACCCTTTAAACCAAGGAATCTTCGACACCTTAGGGATGATCGAATATAGCCATCGTCCCAAACTCCATTCATTCCACTGTTGACGATAAATGAAGAAAAATTCGTTGTAGGCGATTTTTCGATCGTAAATATCGCCTTCCATACCCGCATAAACGCGAACCATAAATTGACCTTACCGACAATGGTTATAAATTGTTTATAATCCCTCCTTAACTTTAACTGAAATGGTTTTGGAACCTTACATGAACGTTTGTGTAATAAAGTTTTAACCTTAAGTATTATGGTTTTTAGGAAGCGGACCTTACAAATAATGGGTTGTTAAGAACCATTACCATTTCAAATTCTGGTTTTCTCCATACATTTTCGGAAAGAGAACTATATTAGAACGTTTTTACTTATGGTTTGAGAACATTAATGGTTATGGTTATGGTAGTCAGTAAGGCCCATGAATGGTTTTGTAACATCGATCAACTTTATGTGGAATACATCGCGAATTGGTGTTTCGTATTGATTGTTGATAAAACCACAGACAAACAGACGTAACTCTTCATTTTGTATCTTCGTTCACGCATTTAACGGTTGATTTGAATATTATCAGTTTCGCGAACTACTCGCCACAGCGCTGGCATCGGATCACTTTGACGTTTCTATACATCCTATAAAACTTTTATGCAATATTGTTTGCAAGTTAGCGAGCAAGCTAGTTTTCCGCGAGAAACCCGAGAGATGTCGTTACTGAGGTCCTATGTATTGAGATACTATGTTTTCAAGAACAACTTTTTCAAAGCGTTACGTCTGTTTGTCTGTGATAAAACTGTTGAATGAAGTTTTCTAGGGGAGTAATTTTTAATCCGTTTATTTCAGCATGAAAAGGCCCTCGGCCATCCCGGTCGTATTGGACCACAGACAAACAGACGTAAGTTTAATTCTGGATCATCGTTCACGCTCACTCGATTCTACTCATTCTTTATTCCACAGAGGTAACTCTAAGACTAGAAGCACAAATGAAGTGACAGACGAAGAAATCAATTAAAATAATGTGGTTCGCTGTAATAGAATTTTCTTAGAAGCTTGTGCCATCAGCCACCAGATGGACTAGTATTTTTGTTTTGATTTGAACATACTTGATTTTGTGTGCAATATGATCTTTGACAGTGTGCAAATCACAAACGAAGTGACAGACGGAGCGGCTCGAAAACTTTGGTGACTAACCTGCTATTGCAATTTTTCAGTGTACCACATGGCAACACCACTACTACCATAGAGGTAACTCTAAGACAAGTAGGTCCCGAAGAAACGTGCTCAACTTTTTGGCTCACCTCTGGTACTATCATAGAGGTAACTCTAAGACTAGAAGGTCCCGAAGAAACGTGCTCAACTTTTTGGCTCAGCTCTGGTACTATCTTCGGTCCCAAGCTAATCGATTCACCCCTCGAAACATAGGAAAATCCACTAACCGCTCATTTTATCTATCAAACTTTCATAGCTAATCAAAATAAACATTGTGTAGTACTAGAATTTCGACTAGAATGGGGTACGTTAATCGTTTACTTGGGACCAATAGGCTAGTCAAGTAGTGAGCCAATTTAAAATCGTTAGTTTCGTATTGATTGTTGGTACTATCGTCGGTCCCAAGCTTGTCGAATCACCCCTCGAATCATAGGAAAAACCAATAACCCCTCATTTTATCTGTCAAACTTTCATAGCGAATCAAAACAAACATTGCGTAGTACTAGAATTTCGACTAGAATAGGGTACGTTAATCGTTTGCTTGGGACCAATAGGCTACTAAAGTGGTGAGCCAATTTAAAATCGTTAGTTTCGTATTGATTGTTGCTACTACTGGATTGTACCATAGAGGTAACTCTAAGACCAGAAGGTCCCACAGAAGCGTGCTCATCTTTTTGGCTCAGCTCTGGTACTCTCTTCGGTCCCAAGCTAAACGATTCACCCCTCGAAACATAGGAAAAACCAATAATCCCTCATTTTATCTGTCAAACTTTCATAGCAAATCAAAACAAACATTGAGCAGTACTAGAATTTCGACTAGAATGGGGTACGTTAATCATTTGCTTGGAACCAATAGGCTAGTAGTGAGCCAATTTTAAATCGTTAGTTTCGTATTGATTGTTGATTGTACCACATGGCAACACTACTACTAGATTGAACTAGCATTTTAACCGAATGTACTAGAATGTTTTGGTTCTATCTCTTTCACTCTACTCAAAACTGAAATGCATAAATAAATGACAAAATGATACGCACTCTTTGCACACTGTCAAAGAATCATTGTACACAAAATCAACTTTGTTCAAATCAAAACAAAAAAACTAACCCATCTGGTGGATGATGGCACAAGCTTCCAAGAAAATTCTATTACAGTGAACCACATTATTTTAATGGATTTCTTCGCCAGTTAGTCGTCTGTCACTTCGTTTGTGGTGCAAATAGTGTATCATTTTGTCATTTTTTTATGCATTTCAGTTTAGAGTAGAGTTAAAGAGATAGAACCAAAACATTCTAGTACATTTAGTGTTGCCATGTGGTACAATCCATTAGTAGTGTTTCCATGTGGTACAATCATAGAGGTAACTCTAAGACTACTGGGTCCCGAAGAAAATCATTATTATTTTTGGCTCACTCAGTACCAGAACAACGGTCCCAAGCAGTCCCAAGCTATTTCACTCACCCCTGCATGTTCTGCATGAATCCACACACCCCTGATGTTATCTGTCAAACTTTCATAGCGAATCAAAACAAACATAGTGTAGTAATAGAATTTCAACTAGAATAGGGTACGTTAATCGTTTGCTTGGGACCAATAGGCTACTAAAGTGGTGAGCCAATTTAAAATCGTTAGTTTCGTATTGATTGTTGGTACAATCCAGTAGTAGTGGTGTTGCCATGTGGTACACTGAAAAATTGCAATAGCAGGTTAGTCACCAAAGTTTTCGAGCCGCTCCGTCTGTCACTTCGTTTGTGCTGGTACTCTCTTCGGTCCCAAGCTAATCGATTCACCCCTCGAAACATAGGAAAAACCAATAACCCCTCATTTTATCTGTCAAACTTTCATAGCGAATCAAAACAAACATTGCGTAGTACTAGAATTTCGACTAGAATGGGGTACGTTAATCGTTTGCTTGGGACCAATAGGCTAGTCAAGTAGTGAGCCAATTTAAAATCGTTTGTTTCGTATTGATTGTTGCTA